TTCCTTCCTCAGTTGACTTTATTTTTGCATTAGAACACCCCTTTCCCTTACTCTGACTCTCTTTTTTGGACCGGCTCTTGCCTTCACTCGTCTTCCCAGCACCAGCGTGGGCATCATGTCCTTCAGTCCCACCATCATGCCACCTGCCAATGGCTCTGCCAACGGGACTGCCAGCGGGGCTGAGCCTGGGAAGCCCCCCACCATCCCCACCGTCATGTTCATCTTTGGCGTGGTGGGCAACCTCATAGCCATCGTGGTGCTCTGCAAGTCCAGGAAGGAGCAGAAGGAGACCACTTTCTACACGCTGGTCTGCGGGCTAGCAGTCACTGATCTCTTGGGGACCTGCCTGGTGAGTCCGGTCACTATCGCCACTTACCTGCAGAACCAGTGGCCAGGAGGAGAGGCGCTGTGTGAGTACAGCTCCTTCATCCTCCTCTTCTTTGGACTGTCTGGCCTCAGCATTATCTGTGCCATGTCTATAGAGAGGTACCTGGCCATCAACCATGCCTACTTCTACAACCATTATGTAGACAAGAAGCTGGCAGGGCTCACACTCTTTGCCATCTACGCTTCCAACGTGCTGTTCTGTGCCCTCCCCAGCATGGGGCTCGGCAAATCTACCCTGCAGTACCCTTACACTTGGTGTTTCATAGACTGGCGAACAAAGGAGGCCACCCATGCAGCATATTCCTATATGTATGCTGGCTTCAGCTCCTTCCTGATCATGGTCACTGTGATCTGCAACATCCTGGTGTGCGTGGCCCTCATTCGCATGCACCGCCAGTTCATGCGGCGCACGTCCTTGGGGACAGACACGACCTCCAGCCGCTTATCAGACTTTCGCAGGCGCCGGAGCTTCCGTCGGATGGCTGGAGCAGAGATCCAGATGGTTATTCTGCTCATTGCCACTTCCCTGGTAGTGGTCATCTGCTCCATTCCTCTAGTGGTGAGTAACGTTGTACAACCCTTCTTCTTTTCCATCACCCGCACTGCTGAGTCTCTTCTCCTGCGCTTGTAGGGCAGACTCCTATGTAGCTGGTGCTGCAAACTTGTTAGAATCACTTAAAGGCTGCTAGCACACATGCATGGTGAGAGAAAGCTGTGTTCATTTATATTTACAAGAAAAGAAGCACACTTATCCCAAGTCCTGGGCTCCTGTGATTGGTTAAAATACATCACCAAAAATTCTCAGTAATTTTTGCACTGTTCAGCTGGAAGCCACACAGCAAAAATCTTACTGAGAGCTAAAGGCACTTGAAAGTTTGCTTCCAAAATTAATTTCTGACGAGAGAGCTTTGGGTCTGGCCTGCATTTCTGGATGTTTGTGTTTTAAAAATGTGCACGCTGTCGCTGGAGGGTACAGCAGTCCTCGTTTGGACTGAGCTGTTGTGTCCAGCAACACGCAGATAGCTTCTCACCCGAAATGTGAGCCAAGCTTCCACTCCTAAGGAATTCACTCACCGTCTCTGGGGTAGGTCCCACACAGACATCCCTCCAGCAGCTCCCCACTGTGGGAGGAGTAAACTCAGAGGAATCACCCGTCCGTGTAATGCTTGTTTAAGTGAGAGTTGGAGGAATGTGGCCTGCATAAACCTAGAAATTGAACCAAAATGCCAAACATTACCAATAGCCTTGCTTGTTTTCTGAAACGGCTGATACAATTAGTGTCATTAAATTGAGCATGCAGGATCCACTTATTTCTATTCTCTCACCTTATCTCCGAGGAAGACAGAAAAAAAAAAACAACAACAAAAAAAACCCACACCAGCTGGAGGCTCAGTTCTTGCCTGCCACTCACCATAGCAAAGCTTGGCGAACTTCTTTCCTCCTCTGGCTCAGAGACATTAAACAAATAGCTGGCTTGCCTCATTTGCCACCTTCCAAAACACAGTGCAGGGAGCCAAGCAGTGGTTGTCAGAGAGAAAGTGTTTTTGGAAGGATTGTTCAAGGGGGTTTATTGTCAGGTGTCAAGGTGTCATTATTCAAGGGGCCACTCAGTTGCAGAGGGTCTACAATGTATGTGAAATACAACTGGCTATTTGGGGACGTGAAACAAGTAGTGCATTCTTCAGTGCGGAAATTTAGAGAAGTACGTGTGAACAGGGCTGCAGAGGTCAGTGAGTCTGTCCCCCTGCTCCAGAGAAGCTGTGATCCCAAGGGTCAGGCCAGTTTTGCCACATTACTGACATAAACGGGAGCCAGTGAAGTGTGGCTGTGCTCGAGCACCAGCTCCCTGGCTGTTGCCGAAGGTCGAGAGACGTCCTTCCATGCTGTCCCTCTGGGCTGTGCTGTGGCATGACTGAGCACGATGCCATGCTGTGCACTGCCTGGCGTCTGAAGGAAGTCGAGAGGTGCTGAGCTGCATGCAGGGTGTCTCAGGGAGGTGCACGTGTGTTAGGTGGAGGAACCATGCACAGCCTGCCCTGCAGTCCAGCCCCAGAAACAGCAGGTCTAAGCCAATTTGCTGCACCAGGAGGCATCAGGTCATGGAGTGGCCAAAACCCCAACAGTACCATGGGTTGACAGTACTTAATTTGGTAAATCTAGTATTAAAAACAGCTATTTCACAAAAGAACAATGCAGCATTTTCAAAAGGGATTTTTCTTTTTTTTTTTTTTTAACTTCTGGAAAAGCAGATGCAGAGAACAGGTTCTGGGAGTTGAATACGGTGTCATAATGTGATACAGGGTATCGGCTGATGGACTTCAGCAGTTTCAGAAAAAAGCCAAACCTTATCCCGTGGAGGAGCAACTGGAAGAAGGCTAGAAGTTTTAATGTAAAATGCAATATGAAATTAAAAAAAAGGGAGGGGTTACCAGAAAGGGAACTGAATTGTTAACAGTTAAAATTAATGAACCTGGGTGTGGCAAAGGGTTTATTATTTAAACAGCAGCTAGTGAAAAACTTGAATATAGCAGAAGGTATGTGAAGGTGCAGGTGATGAAGTTACGTAGCTCTCTCCAGCCTTGATTTCACTACTTCTAAAGGCACAACGCTAACCTTGGGAGTGTTAATGTAAGTTAGCTTTTCTTGGCTAAAGCAGCTCATCTTTTCTATATCTAATATGAGGTAAGAGACTGTCATTTCACTTAGAGGGATGACTAAGAAAAAAGGAAACTTTCTTTAAAAAAAACCAACAACCACATATATACACATCATCACAGTGTCCAGTGTGGTTACATTTATTCATTGTTAAGTAGCTTTTGTAAGTCATCTGCCTCACCCTGTGGGAAATAAGCTATAGCCATACAAGCTTTTTTGTGTCATGACGCTGTATTAAGCACTCTGGTTGCATATAGGCTGAGGTTAAGAATGGAGAGAGAAACTCAGAGAAGTGACACCTTTATGCTATAAATCCCTAGAAAGAGCCACTAGCAGAGTTAGGTAAATCACAAATGTAGACCTACATTTCCATGACTCGAGTTTTAGGGAGCACTCACTGAGTGAGAGGCTCATCTATAACAGTTCAGCCTGGCAGTCGTCAAGAACATGAAAGTGGTAAAGTGGTGGTGGTGGCATGATTCAGATACACAGTCTCAGAGGGTGCATTGTGACTGGAGTTTTCTGATGAGCTGACTTCCTGCT